GAGGGGAGGAGGGGAGGAGGGGGGAAGGGGGAGGGAGGGAGGGAGGAGGGGAGGAGGGGGGAAGGGGGGAGGGAGGGAGGGAGGAGGGGAGGAGGGGTTCAAATGAGAAAGTGGCTGATTAATAGGAAAGGATAACTGAGTCACACCAGTGGGGGGGGGTCACACAGCAGCCCCCCAGGGAGTCAGAGGCAGCAGAGAAACAAGCCCCCACCCACAGGAAGTGTCCAGCACTGCCAGAGTGCCCGTGGGGCTGCCCCCTCGCCCCCTCGCCGTGCACAGGACTGGCCCGTGGAGGTTAGGGGCCCCTACCCCATCTCCTCTTCTTCCAGGTTTTGAAAGTTGCCGCCCACTTTAAGGCAGGGCCTGAGGACTGCTGACTCTCTGGGGTCAGGGAGCCTGTAGGCAGCCTCAACATCAAACCGTTCCCAACAAAAAAACATCATGGACCACGAGCAAATGGGCCAGGGCGCCCTAGAGAGGGGGCCAGTGCCCACATCAGGCCTTGCCCTGAGAGGTCGAGGCTAAAGGCCCAGAGAATGTCAGCCAAGGGCATCCCCAAACTCTGGCCCCCAGGGGCAGAGTCCACCCTCCGCCAGTCCCCTCCTATTCTATATGGGAAAGATGAGGCCCAGGAAGTGGCAGGCACTCGATTAAAGTCCCACAGCTAGTGTCCTTGGGTATGGTTTGCAGTGCCATCTGGCAGAGTTTTTTTGCCTGGAGCATCAGTGTATTAAGTGACTGAGGGGATAGGGGGTCTCCTTCAGTCTCTCCCCTAAGCTCAAGTTACATAATTAGTCAATGGGCACTTGCAGGCAGAACTGTAGGTTTGCTAATGGGTGAGGATTGGGGGGCACTGGGGATTTGGGCTCCTGTTCCTTCCCTGACCCCACTCAGAATTCCTGCTGCTCTAAGGCTCTGACCAGCCAAGGTGGAATTCTTCTGTCATGATTTCCCACATACCTGGTTCATGAACTTCTCAGGGTGGGAAGGACCATGCAACAGGAGACCAAAGCCCCCGAGAGGTCAGGGTCCCAGTAGGGTCCCACACAATCCGGATGAAGGTGCCCAGCCATGGAGGGCAGCAGGAAGCACCCCAGCACGGGCACACAGGAAGGGAGGGAGGTCAGGATGGTGAGGAGAGATAGTCAGAGAAGCTGGTGAGAATCATGCCAGTTTGCCCATCAGATTCCCACCCATCCTACAGCTAACTTCCCTGCCCCCTCAAGTCCATTGTGACAGCCTGGACTCCTCAGGCAGCTCTTCTGGGCTATGGGGAAGGCAGGCAGAGGCTGGCACACAGGACACACTCAGTCTTGTTGGATAGGATTAAGCTGGATTTCTGGGCCGAGGTTTCCGGGGAGCCCTCCTCCCACCCAACCTGTCAGGTCAGTGGGGAGATGCTTTTCAGCCTCATTTTTACCAATGAGGAAACAGGCTGGGGGGTGGTCCCACAGCGGAGCCAGGACAAGAGTCCAGGGGCCCTGGCCCTTCATTAAGCAATGTCACCTGTGTGACTTCTCCATGGGCAGCAGGGTACGCCTCAGACACTGGAATCAACAGAAGGCAAGCAGCCAGGCCTGTCAACTCCTCTGTGGCCATCAGGGCCTGAGGCTCCTGCTGGAGGGGCCCTGGTGATTACTGAGTCCACCTCCTTATTTTCACAGATAGAGAAACTGAGGCTCCTAGAGGGAAAATTACTTGGCCAAGGTCATGCCACAAGCAGATGGCATATTTCTTAGAATTTTGTCTTCTCTTCATCCTCCGAGCTAAACTAAACAGACCTCTCTGTGGCCAAGGGTTCACCTCCCTACCCCGGCCTGCCTGCAGGTTGGGCAGAGGGCTGAGAGCTGTCCGTATTCAGGAAACTCCACAGTCTGTAGCAGTTGGCATTTTCTCCCCCTGCCCCCAGACTTCCCAGTGGCCATGCAGAGGCTGTTACCGGTGGCTAGTCATTAGTTATTTACTCAGGGGGCCACATGCTGTGGACACCGTCCATGTGGTTCCTGCTTGGCTTACAGGGAGGCCTGGCCTCACCTGGCCGTGTCCCTGCTCCCACCTTGGAATTCCCAGCCATGCTTGGGGCCCCACACTTGGGATTCCAAAGTCATGGGTCCATACCTTCCTCATGGACTTCTGCAGGTGGGAGGCCCCAGGGAACCAGGCAGGGCAGCAACAAGGAGAAAGGAGATGGTTAGTTTGAGGAATAGAGCTGAAGTCGTTGGCGCCAAATGGCAGGGGGGAGGAGAGAAGCGAGTGGGGCCTGAGGTCAGGGGAGGTGAGCAGGGTGCCTGGGAGGCAGGAGGTAAGGGTGGAGGAGAGGAGCCAGCCAAGTACCAGACCAAGCCTGTCTCCTCTTCTTCTGCCCAAGGGCTGGGGGTGCCCTGTATGGGCCACTTACCTTCTTCCTGGGCTTCTGAGAGTAGGAAGGAAGTCAGAGCAGGTGACCACCATGGGAGGCAAGAAAGGGGAAACGTTAGAACTGTCCACTCCTTGGGCAATTGGGGCTTGGGGGAGGCATCGAGCAGTTAGAAGGAAAAAACATTTAGACGACTGGGTGAGTGGAAAAGAAACCCCAACCCAACAGCAGGAGAGGAGGCCATTGTTGGCTGGCCCCATCCAGGTATCTGACTAAGGAAGCCATAGGCTGAGCTGGGCCACCAGAGCCCTGGACTGGGAGTTGGGAAAACCAGCTATGCCACTCATTGGTTGGGAGCCTTGGGTTACAACCTTTCTCTCTGGGTCTCAGTTTTCTCCTTTGTAAAGTGAGAGGGTTGGCCTTGAGGGTCTCTCAGGGCCCCTATCACTGGGAGAGAGGAGGTTCTGTGCCAACTCCCATTTGGCCCCTCACCTCTGGGCATCCAAGGATCAGTTACTTGTCTCCTGGGTGCCGGGCAGGGAGATCCCCTCCCAACCTTTGCAGGGAGACTGGCACCCAGGCAGAAGCTATTTCTAAGGTCTAGAAGCTCCCAGGCAGGGGTCCTTGAGACAGAGGGAAGCTGGAGACTCCACTCTCAGCTGGGAAAGCCTCAGACCTTCTGGCCAAGTCAAAGGCACCCTCCCCAGAGGGCCCAAGGCCCAGAGGAGGCAGCAGCAACAGTAGCAAGAGAATATCCCTTTAAGGAAGGCGGGGACGCCCCTTAGGGCACGCCAGTGAGCGATGTAGGATACACAGGAATTCTTACTCCCATTTTAAGACGAGGAAAATGAAGCCAGGGTCACGGATTTAGAGCTAGAGGAGACCTCAGAGTCTGGTCTCCTCATTTTACAAACGGGGAAACTGAGGCTCACAGAAGCTAAAGCGGCACACCCACAGTCACAAGATCCTGGAGTCACAGATTTAGAGCTAGAAAGGCCACGGAGTCCAACCTCCCCATTTTTCAGACAAGTAAATAGAAGCCCAGAAAGGTGCGTGACTTGTCTAAGGTCACACAGCTAATGAGCGTCAGGCCGGGCTGGAGTCCAGGTCCCTCCCCGCGTCATCATCCTACCTTTCTGCGTTCTCCTACACGCTACATGCATGAGGCTCTGCATAGCTACTAGCGGGCTGACGGCCTCTGCCTCTCGGCCCTACCCCATGAAGGTGGCAGAGCAAGAGACGTTATGCTCGGGATGGGAGGAGGTAAACAGCGCGTGACGCCCCGCCATTTTGCAGAACTGATGGGGAGGGTCTGCTCCTGGAGTGGAAGACCGACCTGGAAGGGAACCCAGAGGCCCTCGCTCCCAGTTCAACGTTCCTTGCATGGCCAGAGATCGCTGGGGACCCCGTGTGGTGGGGCTGTCCCAGGGCCTCAGCCACCCCTAGCTCAGTGCCCCGGGCCCCGGTCCTCAGGCCCGTTTGTCCCTGGGAGGCGGCTCCCAAGTGGGAGCTTCAGAGAGAAGGCGCCTGAGAAGGGACCTGGGGGAGCGTCTGGGGAGTGGCCAGAGCCCTCCACCTGTGACTTCGGCCAGAGTCACGTTTATAGAAACTACCTAATATTGTTAACATCGTCCCTAGAAACTACTCAATATTGTTAACATCGTCGGGGGGCCTTCGAATACGAGAACCTCTTCCTCCAAGCCAGCCCCTCAAGCTCAAACGTGCTCCTGGACCCTTTTGTATCAGGAAGGGAAAAGGACGTTCCCTTGGGGTTTTCAGGGCTTTGGAAAGATTTCCAAGACATTTTAGCGGTTTTGCTGATGGGGGGCGCCCCTCCCCACACTGCTGGCAGCACGTGAAGACCGGAGGGCGAAGCTGCTCAACGCCTTAAAGACGCTCCGCTCCAGTAAGCTTGCGTTTCCTGCCAGGCCCAGTCCGTGTAGACGCGGCCCGAGGGGCGTCGAGGCACGCGGAGGAACGCGTCTGCGATGAAGGTTCACCCGGAGGCGCTCAGGGAAAGCAGAAGAACGGCCCCCGTGCGTGTTAATTCATTAGGGTGAGACTCCAGTGCATCGATGTTAATCCCGGGGGTGATTTCATTAAGGGACGTTAATTGAGGTGATGAAGGTTTAATTGGGAGACACTGAGGAAAATTAGGCATTCCTCACCTAACATTAATAACGAAGTCGAGGGATTAATCGGGGGGGGGGGTAGGAGGCGTTAGTGTGAGGGCAAAACCCATATCTCATCATTTGGATGATGAGATATTCATTGAGGAGGAGGAGGGGATGAAGAGAACTGCAAGCAAGAGAAAAGATGAAGAGAGGAAGACCGAGAGCCCGGGAGGGGCGGGGCTTCCCGATTACCTTCCTCTTCGTACTCTTCTGCATTGGAAGAAAAACACAAGAAAAGGGCCACATTAGCTGGTGAGAGGCCTGGCCTGCCCCAGGGAGGGAGGGCTGCAGCCTTGGACCCTGGACCGTCGGGAGGAAGGGTGGGAAAAAGAGGCGGGACCCCCAGGGGCTGGATGGGGCGCCAGGGCTGAGCCCCTCGGGAGAGGACTGACCTAAAGGAGTAGAAGCAGACCCACCCCCAACCCGCCTTCCTTAATTCTAAAGGGTGGAGGAAGGAACACCGTAGCCAGGGGTGGTAGAGACACAGGGCAGGATTCACCAACCACTCTATCTCTAGGAATCCAGGCTTACCAAACACATCAACTGGGGACACCTCAAAGGATTTATGTATGTAGTGAACTTCCTGTGGGCGGTTAGATGCAAGCCCCCAGGCCTGTGGCCCTAAGTGCCCCCCCCCCACTGCCCACGTTCCCATTGGCGCCCCTGGAAGATGGGGGCCTCGGCACAAAGTGGCGGAACTTTGCCCAAGCCTGACCCATGACTCACAGTTAAGGGGTTGAACCCGCCCTTGCGGCTGAATAGCCCACCCCAGAGAGGCAAAGAAAAGGCAGATTGGAGACTTACCCTCAGCGTGTTCTCTGTTGGGGAAAAGAAACAGGGAGAGGCTGGTCAGCGGGGAAGTTCTGAGTTTCTCAACACAACCATCGGTCACAAGCCAGATCCTAGCCCCACTGCCCCGTCAAGTTCCCCCTCCCGCACTTGGCTTGGCTTCCACCAAAGCTCTGCTTATTTGCTGGTCTCTTCACTTAAAATGACTAAGTCCCCCGGGAAGACTTTTATCTGATGGGTAAAAGTAAGTTGCAGGTCCGAGTGTCCCCCAGTCCCAGGGTGAGGGATTGAACAGATCGGGTTTTGCACTCACACTTCCTCATCAGACATGGTGGCGGTGGTGGGTTTCTGGAAAGAGAGAGAGAGACAGAAAGGGGGAGGCAGGAGAGGAGAGGGAGAGAAAGAGGGAAGAGAAACAGAGGGGACGGAGGAGAATGGAGAGAGAGAGATGAGAACAAAAAGACGTTAGTCGCAGCCTGCCTGAGCATCCTTCCCGTGGGTGGCCATTTCAGAAGGCGCAGGCTAGGGCTGAGTTACCGGATGGGCGCCCGGGCTCTCCCCAGACTGGTCAAGCCTGCCGCTCCCCACCCCTTCAGCCCTCCCTAGACACCCAGGGAGGTCCCCGGTGCAGCCTGGCCCCTGGACCTCAGGCACTGCTCCCCAGAAGGTCCCCAGGGATTCTCCATGCCCCTCCTCCCTGGTCATTCGCGAGTGCCCAGTGGAGTCCCCCCCTGAAGGTGCTGCTGCTCGCTAAGTACAATCTCAGCAGCCGTCTAACCGGGCAAGTAGGACTAGCGTTCACTCCTCCCCCCTGTCTCACCCCCAGCCGTGCCCAAGAGGCAGGGCAGGACATATCCTGACTTTGGGGAGGCTCCGCAGACAACAGCATCGTGAGGGTGGGAAGCACCTTACGGGTCATCAGGCATGCCCCGTGCCGAGAAAGAATGAGGAGGAAGAGGAACACATTGGGGGCAGGGACTGGAAAACCACTGAACTTGGAGCCCCAGGGCCTGAGTTGGAATCCTAGCTGGAGAACTCAGTGGTGTGTGGTACTGGGCAGGTCACTCAATCCATTGGGACCTCAGTGTCCTCCTCAGCCAAGGTGAGGGAATTGGACCAGAGCTCCTACAAGACCCCCAGCTCTCAAGCTATGATCTCTGACTGTTCTTGAAGACCCCCAAGGAGAGAGAGCCCACCCAGTTTGCAGACGGCTGTAGTGGTTACTAAGCTTGACCCGGAGCTGACTAGGGGAACCTCGGGGTCCTCATCTGCACAATGAAGCTGATGCTGCTTTCCCTGCAGGTTGGCGAGGCTAAAGTTGCCTGGCTGATCAGGGAAGTGACCTCTCAGTGACTGGGGCAGCATGTGGCTGCCTAGACCCATTTTCTGAACTCAAATTCCTTCCATGAGATGAGACGCATCCTCAGTGCAAATGCCCCAAGGCAAGAGGGAAAGACACCTCGGGTGAAAACTGGACCCGTGGGCCAGGAGTCTAGATCTGCTGAGGATGGCACTAAGCAGCCTCTGGGCACCTTTAAGCTTGGAGATGAGTCTGGGATTCTGAGGCAATGCCTCTTTCTTCCTAAATCCTTTTTCCTCTTTTTCTTTTTTTCCTTTAAAAAAATTACTTGTAGGGGCAGCTAGGTGGCACAGTGGATAAAGCACAGGCCCTGGATTCAGGAGGACCTGAGTTCAAATACGACCTCAGACACATAACACATACGAGCTGTGTGACCCTGGGCAAGTCACTTAACCCCATTGCCTAGCCAAATATATATATATATATATATTTGTAACCTGGGATGGTTCTGGGGCGGGGGGGAAGGAAGGGAGAAAATTTAGTTGGTGTAAAAACAAAAGATCAATAAAGATTTTAAAAAAAAAAGGACTAAATTGGCCTCTCTGCTAGTTCTACACCCCCCTCCCCCATGCTTCTAGGGTCCTGTGATCTCTGACTGCCAGGATCCTGCAGCCTCCAGCATAGACACAGCTCTGACTGTGGAAGAAATATGTATTCCTTCTTTCTATAAACAACCATTAGGTGCCTACTGTATGCGGAGCCCTGTGTTAGTCTCTGAGGATTGTCAGGGTTTAGGTCAAAAGTGCTCCCACACTTGGCAAGGGAATAGGGCATGAGTACAGACAGCCACGATACACACTGAGAGAATGATAGCGGACCACAGCGGACCAGGCACCAAAGATGGGCTGGTCTTGATGGAGGCTAGCACCTGTCTAGCATGCCTCAAAGGGGCAGTTTCAAGGAGATGCCTCAGTTTCCCCAGTCCAGCTGGCCTGCTGTCACTCCGATGGGAGATAGCTGCCCAGCCCAGCAGCACTGCAGAGGGCTATTTATAAGGGGTTCCTGCAGGGTCCAAGGAGCCCCCGACCTTTCTTGAAGATTATGACAGCCTCCAAAATTAGCCAAGGAAGCTTCTCGGCCAGAAACTCAAGAAGCCCAAGTATGTCCTTCCTTAGGCTCCAGAAGGGTCAGCCTCCTGTCCCTGTTGCTAAGAATAATTCCTCTGGCCCTGGCCATACCCTATAAGGACCTCAACTCTACCACGAGGTTCTGGGCCTGAGGGGGCAGCAAGTCTGGGTTTCCAACACTCTGCCTGGAAGCAGAGGCTGGCTTGAGGAGGCCTTGAAGGCAGAACTGACATCCAAACTGCTCCTGCAGGCCAGCGAGGGGGCCCAGGGAAATTGGAGGAAACAAGAAATGCATCTGTTCTGGATCACCTACTGTTCTAGCCCTCAGTAGCCAGGAGAGGAGAAAGCCCAGAACCACAAGGCCTCTCCTAACCTCGGACTCAGCACCTTAACAGTCTGACCTAGAGCAAGCTCCTTTCTCCTGTGGGCCTCAGTTTCCTCCCCTGTAAAATCAGGAGGTTAGATTAGGTAGCTTTTAAGCTGCTCCCAGTGTGCCTAGTGCCCCCTCCCCAAACTGACATTCCATGTTCCAGGTTCTAAGGTTCCCTCCCAGGGCCGATGTCTGGGGAGTCAGGCCAGTAGAAAATGTCCGCTGCTTACTCTCTGTGGGACCTCAGGCAAGTCACCCCCTGTCTTCAAAGAAAATTGTTGGTCGAGGAGACCTCTGAGGTCCTTTCAGCCTGGAAGCCTCTGGTCTTACTTAAGTGAGAAGACAAAGGCAGTGGGATGGCCCGCGTACCCCTTTGGTGGAGAATTTAAAGGGAGGTGATTGGGCCTCTGCCAAAGGCTAACAGTCTGCTTCCTACTTTCCCCCCAGGGGGCAAGGATGTTTATTGACTGACTGACTGACCACATGCTTAGGAAGTGGGGGTGGGGGTGTAGGTGGGATGGGCAAGTCATTAGAAGGAGCTTGCATGACAGACCCAGAGCAGATCCTTCTTTCAATCATAGAATCAGCAACTTGGAGGGATGGTAAATGTTATGCATCTGAGGTCAGATTTGAACTCAGGTCCTCCTGACTCCAGGGCTGGTGCTCCATCCACTGCGCTGTCTCTGTCTCTCTGCCTCTGTGTTTCTGTCAGTCTGTCTCTCCCTCTTCCTCTCTCTGCCTC